CAGACAATGCTGTTTCTCTTTCTTTTTATGTTTACAACTTTGAGATTTATATAAGTATGAATATAAGTTGTTCCGTGATTTAGATTGTAGAGGTAGTTATTTATTCCTAAAGGACATTTATAACAAAGTGTCTTGTAGGCTGGCAAGCTGAAATCTCCTTATATGTCTTGTGAGCTCCAGATTCCAGAATGCCCAGTTAAACTCAAATGCAGTAACTTCAGAAAGCCAGAAGGTGGTGTTATGCATCATCATCAGATTCTCTACAATGAAAAACTGCAAAAAACATACCTCTTTCCTAAACAGACATTATCTTTGCAAAATCATATAGTTATTTAAATACATATTAACTCTTGCATGCTCAATCCCTCCTATAGCCCAACCCCTACACAATCTTGACCCAAGTTGGTGGCCTTTCTGTACTTATATATCCCAGTTCTGTAGCTTTATGCAGCATTTTAGCATAACTAACCCAATAATATTCATATTCAGGAAATTGACATGGCTATATTTACGTGTGTATGGATTGGCCAAGTCTGTTTAGTGCTATTCCTCCACTTTCTAAAATATTTAATTTATACCTTGACAAAGTTGTATGCTATGTCCTGCAAAATTGTCATTGCTTTGTCAGCAGCCAGCTGAGCGGCATTCGGCTCGGCTGTTCTGCTCGCTCCCCCTGTGGGACCGAGCAGAACAGAAAAATAGTGACGATTGTGCGGAGCGAGCAATGACAGCTAGCTCTGCCCAACAGTTTTCTATTGGCCGGCGGTTCTGCTGCTGTCAAAAAAAAGAAAAAAAAGAAAAAGAAAAGATTTGGCCATAGGAATGCATTACTAGATTCCTATTGGCGATTTCAATTTGCAATAGCCAATAGTAAACTAGCTATTGTACCCACCCTGCTGTCAATCACTAGTGGGGACCTGATGGAGAACTGCAGCAGAGGTGCAAAAGCTAGTTTGCTATTGGCTATTGCAAATGGAAATAGCCAATAGGAATCTAGCAATGCATTCCTATGTTGAAAATATTTTTTCTTTCTTTTATTCTGACCCGGCTCCGTGTCAGAATAAAAAAAACCCAAGAAAAAGCAGTGTTTCTCTCCTGGGCAGCCGTGAGCGGGAGACTCCCGGAGCGCCCTGGAGAGTTAGGCTGTCTGGAGATCAGTGTCCCTGGTTATCTGGTAACTAGGGACGCTGATCTCTCTGCAAGTGGCCGGAGCCAGCCGTAAGATCACTGCTGGCTTGGCCAAGCTGTCAGAAGCAGGCTGTCGACCAGCCGCTCTGCCAGCTTCGGCTTTCAGCGCGGCTCAGTCGAGCCAAGGCATATGCCTTCGGCTCGGCTGAGCCACCCGGCTGACTTCGGGAGCTGTATGGGCTATAGTGAATAGCCCGTACAGCCGCCCTTTGGTTCTACTGAATCGAAGGGGTCCTGGGGCCGAAGCTAGCCGAGGGATCGGCCGAAGCTACGGCTAGATCCTTTGACTGCTTCGTGAATAGACCCCTTAGTGTTTGGTAAATTGACTGCACTGTTGATTACAAGTTGAGGTAGGTTTTTCCAATAACTGCAAATTAACTTGATCCATGCCAG